ATACTAGTGCGCTAGTTACACTTATAACTAGTAGGTAGAGTTAGTTAGAGTTAAAGTAGAGTAGCCTCTCTTTAGTAGTAGTCCTAGACTATAGGACTAATTATTTAGGTCTGCTAACTATAGGTTATCTACCTATCTTTAGTATTACTTAGTGCAGATTAGACTATTATAGGCGTAGTAGGGCCTAGACTACCTAAACTTAATCTTTATATAGTATTAGGGGATAACCTTATATTCTTAATTACTTATAGTCTTTCTTTCCTTTAGAGTATTTAGTAATATTTACTTACTAGTAGTAGAGGTTCTCTTTACCTAGCTATCTCTTAAGACTTTATAATAGAGATATAATTAAAGGGGTTTCTTACTATAAATAAGTATAGGCTAGCAAATTAGGGGCGTTAGACACTATTTATAGTAGCCTTTTTAAGCGTTATAGAGACTCTTTTAACCTCTTTCTAATAGAGGTAGGACTAGCTTAGGCTACTCCTAGATAATCTGCTCTACTTAAATCCTTGCTTAGTATTAGTTTCTCCTCCTTATACCTTAGTTAGCCTTATAGACTAAGGATATTCTAAGAAAGGTTTCTAGGCTACTATAAGACTATATTGCTACTATTCTATATAAAAGAAAGCTAGTCTAACTAGTATAGTCTAGGTAAGATAGCCTATTAATAGTATAGTTAGCTTATTACTATCTACTATTAAAGGGCTTTATACTATAAGATATACTATCTAAGATATAAACTTGCTATATTATAATAGATACGTAGTTCTCTATAGGATACTATATAGGAGGGTAATCTATTTCTCCTTATATAGGTTATCTAGTTACTACTAGATTTATCTATATAGGAAGGAGTAATTCTTTAATTATATAATATACTTATTTAACATGTCCTATTATATTATACTTATATATAATATATCTATTATAAGTTTATTAATACTAAATTAAATAAAAGCTTCTATAAAGATAATCTTAACTTTAATAGTATACTATTAAAGATAAAGAGCCTTTTCTTCTATAACTAGGCTTTCTATAGTAGGGACTACTATATCTTATAGTAGTTAACTAATATATATAATAGCCCTATTTTCTATCCTAAGCTAATATATATTAGTTCTATACCTAGCCTAGGAAAATATATTAATGTATAACGTATAGTTAATAGGGTATCTAAAGGATAGATTACCCTGCTTTTAGAATACTATAGTATAGTAAATAGGTTATTACCCCTAAATTTAGTAACTCGCGATATTATCCTCTTAAATAGTGTTATAGTTGCTATATTAATCTATATTAATTCCTAGTCTAGTATAACTTATATACTAATCTAGGTTATATAATAACTATATTTTAGCAAATATAAACTATATATAGCTAATATAGGTTAGTAAGAGTGTATTCCTAGATATTTATATCTTACTCTATTAATACAACTATTATACTCTAGTATATAGAGGAGTGGGTGAATAAAAGGATATAGTATAAATCTACGTAAGCTAATATAACTTATTAGCGTTAGTTATAATAAGTAATAATACTATAATTATAGTAATTTATATAAATCTATATAATAATAATCTAGTGTACTCTAAATTAATTCTTAACCCCTTGTATATATACGTAATACAATATATTAGTATACCCTCTCTATACTTCTATTACACTAATATAGCATAACTATAGTATAACAACTTATTATTTAATAACTATATTATAGAAGTATATTAGTATAAAGATATAGCTAAAGATAATATATTATAAGTAATAGTAATAACACTAGTGCGCGTTATAATATAACAAGTGCACAAGTTATACATAATAATATACCCTTTCTATCTATAATAATATATTTATAATATATTAGCTTTACTTATAACCTTATCTACTATAAATGCTGCCTTTATTCCTAATACTATCCTATAGTTAATTTAGGATTTAAGATCCTATTTATATAAAATACTAGAACTGCATAGTATCTACCTATAGCTAAAATTAGTAAGTAATAATCTAATTATAGTGTAGGTAGCAATATATACGCCTAAAGTGTTTGCCCTATAGATCTATATATTTATAGTTAGTAAGAAGGGTATTAATAACCTTAATAAGTATATCTATAAGGCTATAGATATATACTTTAATATAATCTAAGACTAACTATTTAGCTATATTTCTAACTCTAAGTAGACTAATATATAGGACACTATCCTTACTAAGTATCTATTTTTTAGATATTTTAATAGAGTATAGGTATTAAAATAGCTTATATAGTAGACCTAGATATATAGGAATAAGAACTAATACTCTAAACTAAAACACAAGTATATTATCTACCTCTTTAAATATACTAATCTTACTATTATAAAGGAGCTATTATATATAATTATACTATACTAGGTAATAGTATTACTACCCTAATTACTTAAACGTTCGCTATCCTATAAGGCCCTAGCCTAGGGAGGTCTATTATATGCAGAGGTCTATATAGATACTAGTAGCTAATATCTAACTTTATTTATAGTAGTTTAGGTATATACTATAACTATATAGTAGCCTAGTTAGGATTCTATAGTAACACTCCCTAATATTTAAACTAAGACTTATTATAGGCTATAAGTAAGCTAGTATTACCCTATCCTATTAAATATATATAAAGATAACGTCTACCCTAATCTAAATATACTAGTAGTATTACTAGCTTTAAAGACTAGGGTACCTAGGATAGTAATAGTAGCGTTTTTAGGGGTTAGTATCCTAACCTAATAGTTAGTGTGCCCCTAGCTAGTAGTGTTAGATTATAATAAGTACTAGTATAGCTAGATATAAGACTATAAAAGCAAACCTATTTATATAGTATACTAGCCTAACTAAATAATTCTACTCTAGATACTTATAAAAACATACCTATAGAAGATAACTATAATATACTACTAGACACGTAACTGTAACAAGGTAGGCGCCCTGCCTGTGAAATGAATACTACGTCATCTCCCCTGCCTGTACCACTTGGCCATGGTCCAAAAGGTACGCACGAGAATACTTAAGCTAAGTAATCCTCGCATAGTATAATATATATATCTTAGCTAAGCTTAGCCTAAGATAATAGTGCTAGACCCTAGCGCCAACCCATGAACCTTGTTCAAGTCTAGCCTAGGCATCTAGTAAGCGCTAGCTATTTTAGCCTAGCCTTGTTACAGTAACAACGCTAACCTTATACTATTATAGACTCTCTAATAGAGACTTTAGATTCTACTCTACTAATATAGACTTGTAAGAATATACGCGTTAGGAATATAAAGGCTAGGCGCAACTATATAACTAAAGCTAAGGCTAAAGGTAATAGTAATAAGAGAAATACTTCTAGAGTATAAGGCCTAAAATTATAGTAGTCTCTAATATAAACTAGAGTATCTATTATAGATACCCCTTATATAGATAGTAGTAGTATAGGAGAGCTAAATAATAGTAATAGTAATAATAGCGTCTAGGTTTATAGACAATTATAATATAAGAGGGTCCTAACTATATAAGTTAAATAATATATATATATAATATTAGTATATATAAATAATATAATATAATATTACTATATATCCTATACTATACAAGCTTACTATATTATACTACCCCTTTACTACTATAATATATGAGCTATGCTTCGGTGGCAGTGGTTATAATAACCC